CCTTTGTTCTCTTCCCTTTTGTTTATCTTTTTCTTTCTTTTCTTCCTTGGGTGTCATAAATTAAGAACAGACCGTGTATTTACCAAGAGTACATATTGTCAAGAGTTCAAAAAAGCAGGAAGAGGAAAAATAGACGGCCCTTTCTTTGAATACCAGACTATACAACAGTGTTTCCCTAATACAATCAATCTGGGTACCCGAAATTGGAGCTAAACATTTAGTCCATTAATTGATTAGTTGATCGACAGATAATTAATCGGCAACAGTTTTGACAATCAATTCATCGAAACTAATTAATTGCTTTCAATGCGATTGTTTGCTGGTGTTCGGCATCTTGTATGTTAATAAGATGGTTGAACAAAACAAGACATCTGAAGACCGAACATTGGGATTAGTGGGGATAGAATTAATAGAATTAATCAATAAGGAAAATAGTTGGCCATATTGGTGTACTTATGAGTAGTTAAATGAAATGTAAATATAATGCTCATATATTAGGTGATGATATAATGCATTTTGATTTTCTTAAAGATGCACTTATCAATATTCTGATATGAACAATGGATAAAATCTTTCAGCTTGTTGTTTCAACCATTTGGTTCGCTTAAGTGCTCTCTCAATCCTTTTTCTAGCTGCTGCAGGCAGCTGTTTTAAGCAAAAAAACTAGCTGCACACTACCTGATCCTGTTCACCAAACAACAAAGAGACAGAGAGTAACGAGTGGGCATAGTGGAGCATTTAGCAGCAAAAGGAAAAATATTTTTCTCAGGAGTTATGCGAGACCAAAACCATAACAACAAGTGGACAAAACAGAACTCCAAATAGACTCTAATAATGCTCTTTGTCTAACATAGAAACCATGTCAACTTAACAAGGGTGTATTATGTAAAAAGTGTGTTTTTCAGCTTGTTATGAAGTTCTGCCCATAACTGGACAAAAAATTATGAATGCAGCTTCAACAAATCTGATTTACATTCTTTTTCAATTATCCAGTTTACATGGGCCTGTACAGCATTGAAACTGCCTCAAACTGATTAATATGTTACACATAAACAGAAAGAAACATAACACATTAAACAGAGAAACAGATAGAACACTATGAACAAAATGCTAAGTGTATAACTCTCAGCTCCTACTGTTTTTCCGTGAATTGTCTAATCGGCAGGTATACCAAGTAATCCCCCTCCGCTTTAAGGCCAGCTCCCACCCTGCAGACCCATGATATGCTTTTAACTTGCAGTAGGACTACATGTCTGACAAAGTATCAGTGGAGGGAGGGGGCGGATCACTCACTGCCGTCTCATTGCCTCTGCCAGATTTGTTATGTCACAGGATCTAGTAGGATCAGCATCCACCTCGTCTAGCCGGGGCCAGAATGAGTGAGAAATCCCACACTGATTGGGATGGTGCTGTTGTTGAATTACTACTGTATCTACTGAGCAATATGACATGGTCTGAGTAACTGTCTGAGGGCATAAATCCATCTTTCCGCTATTATTTTTGTCTCGTTTTTCATTCCTAAGGTTAAATAGTCATGTTTACTGCTTTTTAATTAGAGTACCTTCATTAAATAAATGAACTAAAAGAGAGCCATCCGTTCAAAAGCCTCGGTACCTGGGTGTAGGTGCAGGGTCACATTGTTGCAGAAGTCAGTGAAGCAGCAGTTCCTCTTTGAGACATTTCGGGAGCTGTAGCAGAAGACCTGGCCCTTCATCTCAGAGGGCGACATGCACGACTTGTCCGTCTCCTCCTTCCCGTCGATCAGCATCACAGAGTTCCAGCAGGCTCCATCTGCGGTCGTCTCACAGGTGTGGTTGGCGCAAAGCTGGCACACACACCTCAGACCTGAAACAAATGACATCACTCAAGATGGTTATTTTCTCCACAGACACCAGTTCATTAATTTAATTTGGAAAATCACAGACAGCCATATAAGTTGTCTTTAACTCTTTAAAAGCTCCTGTTATGTAAGCAGGAAGAACCAACGTAATGCCTCTTAGTTTAACACCCAGATAATCTTGTGCTCCTCTGGAAGCTGCTGTCATGCTTTGTTTGATAAGACTGGGAGTGATTGATAAGCAAGCTTGCACTGCCTGCTCACTGGAAAAATCTAGAAATAAAAATGTAAGAATATCATACAATAAATTAAATTAAACTATTTTTAATGTATGCATTATTTCAATAAGAAGAAGAAAAATAATGATATAAACAATAATAATGAAAGTAAATGTCTCCATGGTGTCCAATTATGAATCAGATTATTAAGTTGTAAAAATGTTTTGTCATAAAATGTCACTGTCAAAACAGTATTTCATTTTGTATCATGTTTAAAATTCTGACTATTTGCTAAGAGGACAAAATCATAAAGATACATTTAAAATGTACTAGATCGTAAAAGCTTATTTTATTATTCTCTTTTTTTTAGCAGAGCTTCTGTATCGGCTTGCATTAGATAGTTCAGGGGTGCCTAATAAAGGGGACCAGCAATATGACAATTGGTGGATGCTGAAATGTATGTCCTGCGTGCAATCAGTGGTTTGCATGCCCACTCAGTCTGGTTGCAACTAAAACATTCCCCAAAGGTATTTTATTTTCGTCAGGAGGATTTGGCTGCTGATACAAAGCATCTTGTGACAGTATGTCGCCTCTTTACATTTTCTGTATTTGTCATGTATCAACAAACGTGAGAAGTGCTTGGATTAAACAATACAGGAAACACAACTGAGACATAACATAACAAAGTCTTATGATAGCAAATAGAGCCTCTCCTTAGCTCGTTAGCCGGTTTACAAGGAGGCAAAGTCGAGGATTTTGTTGCACGTCTGGGAGTGGGGTTTTTTGACTGTGTACCGCCACGTGTATTGTAAAGCTCAATCCAAGAAGGAAAAGAAGCATCAATAAATATTTTCCAGGTGTTTACAGATAAGAACAGACACAAAACTAGATACATTTCACAACTGGAGATGATGGCCAAAGTTCAAGTGACTCTTACTTTTGTACTGGGGTTTTAATTTGAATGTTTATTGTCCAATAAACATTTCATAACATTTGTCTTTCTATGTATTGTTTTTGAGTTTTGAATGAGATCTGGAGATGTTTAGTTCTTGCCTGGTTGCTACACAACTTAGTAAGTAGGAAATGTTGTCAAAGACACAGAACTTAAATGAAGAATACAGCTGTGTGTCATCCATGTAGCTGTCATAACATATGTTTAATACAAGACACATTTTTAAAAAGAGAACAGCATGGGTCCAAGGATTGATCCCTGGCTGTTTTCCTATTCCCATTTAAAAAAAAAAAAAAATGTTAGTCTCTCTCTCTCAATACCATCTGACTTGCCTACCCTGTTTCTTTAATGTGTAGAGAGGAGCACTGAAGGAAAGCAATTATGTTCCACTTTTACTTGCGAGTATAACAAATTGAGAGAATTACAATAAATTTGACTTTGTGGCACTCAGCCCGAGATTCCACTTGTACCTTCTGAATATATGCAATTGTTTAAAAATGGGTCACAAATAAATAGTTAAATGACCCGAAAACAGCTGGCCATTGTAGTTTTTAGCAAATGTTACTCATAAAGGAATGAATAGTGCATTCTTGTAGTTTTTTTTCAACCACAGATTCATAGTGTTGAACGGCACCGAGATGTTGTAGAATTGACTCAAAATAAACAACAGTGCAATATGTGTTGCAATGAAGCATAGAGGTGTGGATTACATTTCAACAGGAGGAATTCATCACAATTTTTGGTCTTTTTGATTTATTGATATTGACAAAATAGAGGATATACAACCTAATAATTTGACGGGCTTTTTAAAGCTCCTCCAGCTGAATTCTTTAACAGTATACTTGGGAGTTGCTTGGCAACAAACTCACTCAAGGACATCGATGATTAAATTGAGTGCTGGGGCTCTGTAACTATTTTTTGTTAGTCTTTTTTTTTTTTAAAGCAGATGAAAAACTGAGCATCGATGTGGATGCGTTTAATGGCTTCTTTAATCACATCTGGTGTCAGGGAGGCAATTGTAATTTTTAGGAACAAAGTGAGGGTGGTGTAGTGGTTAGCACCGTCGCTTCACTGCTCGGGTTCCACCCTGCTGTCTGGTCCTTCTGTGTGGAGTGTTCATGTTCTCCCCACATAAAGGTTTTTCCTCCAACAGTCCAAAGACATGCAGGATAGGTTAGGTTAGAGTGCGAGTGTCTCCATGTGTCAGCCCTGGTGACCTGTCCGGGGTGTACCCTGCCTTTGCTTAACGTCAGCTGTGATCGGTCCAGACCCCCACCCTAACCCTGAATAGGATAAGCAGTCACTGAAAATGGATGGATGGATGACTGGTTTTGGGGAAGGGGTGCCATAAACACCAAACTGTGTTGAGTTTGCAAAACAGAAAATACATGGTGAGAACAGTGTTGTGCCAACAATCAACTAAATAACATATTGTACTGTTGTCTTAAAAAAATGCTGGAACAAAACTCCACACCAAGGACTGCCAAAAGAAAAACAAGCGTATCTTTAAACAGTGCATTAAATTAACAAAATAGTAGTTTAAAAAAAATCCATATCTTGCCTGCCATTTTACACCAGGCCATAGATCTTTAGTCACACCTGATCTACTGTAACATTTTCCCCAAATCAGACACCCTAATGTGACTTCATATTGACAAAGGATTGAAAAATGTTCGACCGCATAGTTTAACATAATGAACAAACTACACGAAACAAAACAAGCTGTATGAAATCCACCAAAAACCAATATACAGAAAATAAATCAGAAGTCCAACAAAACTGTTCAACAAATTGTTGTTTTGTAGATGGAGCAGTTATGATAAAGATTTCATCACAAACATTGTAATCCATCAGCAACTTTGAGGAAACTTCTTGTTATTTCAAATCAAACCATATATGCACATTTCCACACATCCTTAAATATGTGCATGTTCTGAGAACTCCGAACAGGTTTGGATAGCTCTGCAGCTCTTATCACTCTTGGAGGAGATAGGAGTTATTTCCAAGGTCAACAATGGTGATGAAAAGTATTTACTCCTGAACTAAATATGTGTCTGTCAGTTGTTCTCTAAGATGCTCAATCATTTAGGCATGCATAGGGATGAGTTATAGCCATAGACTGCAATAACAGCATATTTTGTGTTCATTTCCAATATATAAATATATAGTGCTGAGAGGATTGCACTTGATGTACTTTAAACAACGTCAGCAAGAGTCGATTGTAATGAAGGTTACCACGCATTCTGCAAATGAAGCTGTTATGTAGAGAGAGAGAATGCAAATTCTCATGTCCTTCATTTGAAAACAGTATTTTTTATTTTTATTTTTTATTTTATTACCTTCATTGTGCAGCCTGAGGGCATATTAGAGGAAAAAGAACTTTGCTGATTAGCTGCATTTGTCTGTCCGTTTATATAAGGAAATAAAGTGCAGTGCAATAAGTGGGTTTCTCTCATTTACTGTGTATAAAACAAGAAACGCCAGTTGACTGACAGAGCCTTACAAACATTTACCACTTCTACAATAAACCCATCTACCTGTTGCCTCATTAAAAACATTCTAAAACAGATCCCACACACCTGTCAAACTAGCACACGTTTCACTTTCTTTTTTTTTTTTATAAACACGTTTGTGTTAATGTCCCATTCTAAGCCTGAACCTAGCCAAAAACAAAGGAAAATGGGCAGCACATGTCAAGCATTGCTGCCTCAGACAGACAAGCTTTAAGTCAGGGCACACAGGGACAATCGCAGACAGCAGGTATAAGTCAGATATAGCATGTGAGAGGGGAAGGCATATGTTTTACCAGCATCTGGAAATTCATTTATGTATTTTACAATATATGATGCAGCGTAACAGCCTGCGGACCACCACGTGCAGTATTAATCAAGGTTGAGATGAATTATTATTTTCATTAATAAGCTGGTCTATTAACTCTCAGAAAAGGATGAAACGTGCAGATCACACCAAGGTGACATTTTCAAATCAACTTTTTTCGTCCAAGCAGCATTTCAAAACCCAAAGATCAGTTTACGATCATATACGACAAGAAAAAGCTGCATATTCTCACAATGAAGAGGAACCAGAGAATGTTTGGTATTTTTCTTTACCTAATTTCTTCAACTGTAGAATAAAATGTATTCAAACTAATTGTAATTGTTATATTATAAAACAAACACATGTACTCTTTGATAAACAAGTGTCTCTAGAAAAGCCCACTCAGATCTAAATAAGATGTGCAAATGAAACAATATCCTTCCGTATACAACTATCAAATTTTAAGTTTTGCCCAAAACAATGACAACATCACCTCACCATAATCTTACAGTATAATACTGGCTGGGAAAAAGCAATGAAGAATAAAACTGACAGTATTCTATTGTTTGGTTTAACTGACAAGCTATTTTTATTTGTTTTTTTGACCAAGCATTTCTAAGATTTTGGACAGCACGCGGTCTGTTAACGCCTACTGCCTTACAAGTGACACATGGACAAACAGGTAGCCCATAGGAGCTTTGTATTCTTTTTTTCCCATTTTCTTTTTCAATAAATGGTCTTTGCATTCAGAGTTAACAGTAAAACAAATGTATTCTTCGAATTTACAAAGGTGAGTTTTTAAGTATAAAATAATGTTTCCTTAAAAGTTGAATAAACTTATATTCATGGTTTGGTGACATTGCACGATGCTGTCTGTGAATACTATGGGCGATTTCAAAAGTCAGACTGAATTAATTATTTATCCTAGTTAGCAAACACTTTAAACAAGTAGGCAGTTTGATAACTCACATAAAACCTTAAAACAATGCAATTGACTAAATGAATGCATTCGATTAAGCTAATGCAAACTGCGTGAGTGGGGATCTGTCAGAACAACTGTACCTGCGGTCAGCTGGGCGACGGACAGGAAGATCAACGCCGCTTGAAAGCTCCGCTTCCCGGGACGAATCATGGCAAGAGCAGCATCTGCTCGCTCTCCGACGCACCGTTTACGCAGCTACTCTACGGAAAGACGTTATTCATTGCGGCAAAAAGTCCGTCGGCCATGCACACCCCGCACAAACGCCTCGCACAGCTGAGGCATGGGAGGAAACTGTCAAACGCAATGAGAGGTTTGCTCCGCCCCTGTTGGCGAGAATTTAAGAGGATTAGCGCTGCAGACCTCAGATAAAGACATGCGAATGAGAGCCAGAGAGAAAGTGTGTTGCACATCCATTGAACTGCTGCAGGTCCAGTGAAACACCCCCCTCCTGTCTGCATATTGATTACAGAGACAATTCCCGTGAAGGTGTCAGCCCTCACGTATTTACCAAATTGCTTACTGTGGTTGGAGAATCCGGGAAGAATTGTCCAAAGTACACTGAATATGTAAATAGAAAAGGCCATCAATGTAAAACTACATTATCACAACTGTATACATCATACACAATCACAAGGGTAACGTGATTGTTTTGGGAATGTTCACTGACTATTCTCCAACTTCATGTGTACATAGACCACAGTGGGTCTTTATTGACCTTATAAACCTGTGTGGGGCCCTGGGCTGAAGAAAGTTGCTAAAGAAACCAGCCTAGGTACCACTGCTAACATCCTGCCCAACCAAGCAAAGAGTAAACACCGTCAGGTAATCTGCTGTACATTAAGCTCAGTGCAAATGTTAGCTCAACTCACCTGCATGCAATAAGTTATTTACTGCAGGCCATATGTGACCAAGATGTGTCCCTGCTGCTTGGGCACCATCCATAGCAACTGCAGCTGTCAATGTCACCAAGCAGAGTGGACGAATGGACTGAGTTTACAAGAGCAAAACCACAAGCACACAATGCACCTATTTTCTATGTATTCACAATAAAGTCAGGGCAGTCTACTGTAAATAGTAAGACATATATAGCTTTATTGTGTGTTCTGCAAAGACCAATAATACATTAACCTCTCCTCTGAATGTACTACTTGTGATTGTGGAAAGGTTTTAAAAGGTTAGCCATAAAAATAAAAATGTTTGCAGGCAGTCATAAACAGATTACGACTTCTACCTCTCAGCTGTAAGTACATAGAGGTACGCAGCATGGATGCAAACCTAGTACAGAACCGCAGGGAAATAAGATTGGATTTTGAAACTGGTTGAGTCAAACCTCCGTGGTTTGCTGGGGCCGGGTGGTTCATATGACAATGAATATGAAGACAGTCTGCGTAGGTTTGACAGCTGTTGATACATGCAGGCGGGGGGGGGTCTCAGCGCTGTTTGACGTCCACCGTTAGTGTTCCTATCAGGGCCCATAACTCCTCTGGCATATTAATCAGTCTGAAAGCCCAGTTTCTGTTTGTCATTTGCCAAGATATCTGCTGTGCATGCAGTTTCACTTTACAGCTGGCAAGGGAAGTGCCGGGTCTTTTGACCTTTTCCAATGAATATAAATTAATTTGTTGCATCATCAGTGCAGATGTCAAGCTTTTTTTGCAGTAAAGTAGATAGATTGATATGTAGAAATAACCAAGATTAGCGAATCATTTCAGGGTTAAACTAAAATGTCTACATACGTATACTGACAAAAATAGAGGCACAGGAATATGGAAGTTGGGTTTTAGCTGGGAAGGATAAATGACCAACTATATACTGTGGGCATAGGTTCCTATTGAATTAAAGATGGAATTACTGGAATAAAGACCCTGAATGATTAAGAGTTTTACTTTTAGTCACAACTGTAATACTAGTCTAAACAGGAAGCACTAAATCAAAATGAGCTGATAAAAATGTTCTAACACAGGAGTAACAAAGTGTAACAAGAGTCAAAGCCATACTAACAACTCTGTAAGTCTGTAACATTTGCTAATTAGCACTAAACACAAACTACAGCTATGAATGATGAGAAAGTCATTGGCTTTGCTGGTATTTTGTCATGAATCACAGTATTGGACAAATTAAAAGTTCGACTTGATGAAACCTCAGGAGATCACTGAAGTCATAACAGTTACCCCTGAGAGGGACCTGAATGCATGGGCCAAATTTCATGACGATAGTGGCTGAGACATTCCACTTTAAAACCGATAATGCAAACCTAACGGGGGTGCGAGAGGAAAAATGATGGTCACCAAAGTCAACTAGATCCATCCTCGGGGGACCATGACTGTTGGTGCAATTCATCTTCATTCGTCCGATAGTCGTCGAGGTATTTCAATCAGGACCGAAGTGACGAAATGTTAAAAATAAATATATAAATCTACAAGATACAGCACCAAGACAAATGAGACAAATAAAACACTTTTTTTCTATTTAATTAATATAAATCACTAATTAATATAAAATGTTAAAGAAATAAAAAAAAAGGCTGAATTTTGACTTCATTTACTTGACAATGCACGCATTAAGACGACAATGCACGCGTTAAGACAGTATACAGGATTTACAGGCTTACTTACAGGCCTCCGGAGGACTGGAGTTCAGTATCTAGCAGATAGTGTATTTGTTCCTTTAGCATTTTGTCTCTGTAAAGTTGAAGAAACAAAACATAGAACAGGCACAGGTACTTCTATGTAAAAACCCCATGACAATATACAAAAGAGTACCTTCAGTTGGACGATATCTCAGGAAAAGAACAGTGCCACCGACGCAGCTGTAATCCCAGGAGACTTTTTCTGACAGTATTGTAAACAGATGTGCACACAAAGTAAAACATAACACTGCTCGCTGCCATTGCCGTTTAAGAAAGTATGCAGATTAAATTGGCAAGTTGATTTCTTTTCCAAATGAATCCACCGTAGTACAAATGAACGATGCAGTACAATTGAAGAGATAAGGTGAAATTGCTAATATGTTCAGACATTTTTCAATCTAAAAAAAGAAACGTGTCCAACTAAATCTGCGGTTCTAACAAAAGCGAGTCTAATCAAATGCCCAGGTAACAGTTTCTTCCTTATAATAATATTGCAAACAGTCCAGCTCCTATGTCATAAGTTTAATATATATCTTCCTATTTCCGTGACCATCGGCAGTCTCAGAAATGCCCGGTAAGCCATCTTTGGATGCCAAAATGTTTCCCGCCAAGTGTTTTAAAATAAATATAGGTTTGTGCCACTATAAGGGCACTGAACCGATCAAGTCTCTTGTCTCGTGAGATTTCTCTCGGCTGGCCCGCCCTCTGGATGTCTTCAAACGGCCTTTAAAGTATGTCTGCCTCTTCTTCTCGAGGCAGACTCAAATGTCTGTTTTGATTTTGTCCAGAGAGTTGTCGATCTTTGTGAGAGTCTTTTTGATGCGCAGCGCTGTTAATCTGGCCGACGGATTCTGGTACCAGCACTCCTTCATGAGTTTAGCTATGGAGGTCAAAGTCTGAAAACAAATAAAGAGAAATCAATCAATCGGTGTGTCCAGTGTCAACATTAGAATATCGCCGAAATGCTCTTATATCTGGATATCAAAAGCATGCAGATTTGAACTATATACTGTATATTAATAACTATATAAATATCACTCACAGGGTCTGAAAACCATCTGTTTGGGACGTTGGGCCTCTGCTGATCCACACACACAACCTTCTTCATATCCTCAAAACTGGGATCGCTGGGGACCACGTCGTGAAAAGGTGGCTTGTAGTCTTCTACAATGCCTGCAAGGAGAGAGGTGCATGCAGCAATTCACTTTCAAGAACACTCAATCACTTAAAAACAAAGTGTAATAAAGTTACACTGACAAATGGCTGACACATAAAACACACTTTTTTTTTTTGCTCTTAACTTGCTCTCGAGTGCAGGCGTAGGACAAAATAGAGACATGAGGTTCCTCGTGGAGGGTAAATCACTATCTTAAGTGTTGCTGAGAGCCCACTTCCTACTGTAAGGCGATAAACCTATTTGACAGTGGATGAAGGAAGTAGGTTTTATTTCACATAAGAGGTCTCCGGCTTGTCCACAGACCACAGACAGTAGATGTTGTCGTGTGTATCAAAGCCAGATATTTCCATAATTCCAAGCAGAAATTACCAAGCATGGGGAAATCTGATGGCTTTTATTACAGATTCACAATTTTAGAGGAGGTGTGGAGTACTCCTGTATGGATATGGAGGTATATGGGCATGTATATGGAGGTACATGAGAAAGATAATGAATGGGGTGCCGGGGGTGGGCTCTTGTAGCTGCCTTTAAGTTTAGTGATGAATGTAATTTTTTTTCAATTTTATTTAATTCCTTCTGCGGTTTTGTTTATTATATTCATGGTTATTTGTCATCTTTCTTTTTTGTTGTTTTTGTGTTTTGTTTTTTTTGGGGGGGGGGGGGGGGGTTTGCAGTATAACAGGCCTAGTTTTTGTATCTGTGTATGGTTTTGATGTGTTTGGACGAATACAAACTTAAATGAGAAAAAACAAAAGCCAAGTATTTTATTTCTATCCCAGCCCGACTTAAAGCAATGGTTCTGTGTTCGATCTGAAAAGAAACATGTTCTCAACTATATGTAAAAAACAGTGACAATACAATCTACCACTTTGTTTTTTTAAAGTGACAATATGCTGCTTGTAGGTAATGCAGATTTGTTGGAAATGAGGACGATAGTTGAGAACAACAAGATAAGGTACGACTGCACCATCACCGTGTTGTGTAGAATGTTTACTGACCATTGCTGACTGTCCTCCTGGCGATCTCCCACAGGACGAGGCCCAGGGCCCAGATGTCCACTCTCTTGTAGGACTCGAAACAGTCCATCTGGATGGAGTCATCAAGCACTTCCGGGGCCATGTAGCGCTTTGTGCCCACTTTGGGGTTGTTCCCCACATCCAACTCGTTGGTGTCTTGAAAATGCATGACGGCCAGACCTAGCACGAAAACACAGAACACGTATAAAGTTCCCCTCCAGATATGAGACGTATACAGCCTTCTGGTGTTTTTCAGTGGTAGGGGACTTAAAAGCATCCAGTCTCTGACAACTATAATGAAACAAAACAAAACACTCACTCCATCGACTGATGCTGAAACACTACTTGTTTTTGGTAAAAGCCCTGTTCCCACAGGATGTAATCCAACATAAAAACAACTCGCTTGGGAGACAACAACTGCTGCCATGTTAGTCGGGAACAGCGAAATGCGTCATCCAGAGCAGAATTTGTTCCATCGAGCATGTAAACACGCCGAGTCTGTCGCAAGCTTATGGCGTGTACCTGAATTTGCTGTTATTTGAGCACCTGCAAATGGAACATTGGTGTATTAGATAAAGTGGTCAGAGTTCCTCTAAATGCGTTTTTGATCAAGGGCTTGTGGTACATTTAGGCTGTGGATGTTCTGCCTCAATTAACAACAAATATGGCTAAGCGGATAGATGCGAGTAGAGGGATATTATTGCAGATGCATCTCTTATGCAATACCCATAAACCACAACTTTCAATCTTCAAAACAACCGTCAGTAGTTTTCCATCAACCCTCATCTTTTCCGCTTATCCGAGCCAGGCCGCGGCGGCAGCAGGCTTAGTCGGGCATTCTAGACGTCCCCTCTCCCCCAGCAACGTTTTCAAGCTCTTTCCTGGTGAACCCTGGAGCGTTCCCGGGCCAGATGAGATGTATAATCTCTCCAGCGGGTTCTCAGTCTAATCCGGGGCCTCTTAACCGGTTGGACGTGCCAAGAAATCTCTCAAGGAAGGCGTCCAGGAAGCATCATGATCAGATGTCTGAGCCGACCTCAGCTGGTCCCTTTTGGACGCAAAGGAGAAGCGTCTCTATTCAGAGTTCCCTCCGGGTGTCTGGGCTCCTCACCCTCTCTCTAAGTTTGAGCCCAGCTGCCCAACTACCATAACCCAAAGCTCATGACGATAGGAGAGGGTCAGAACGTAGATGGACTGCTAAATCGAGAGCTTTTCCTTCCGGCTCAGCTTCCTCTTACAACGCCTGTATCACTGAACCGCCTGTCCGTCTCACAGCCCATTTTAACCTCACTAGTGAACAAGACACAGAGATACTTGAATTCCCTCGCTTGGGGCATTGACTCACTCCCAAGCTAGTGGGCGCAATCCACCGTTTTTCCAGCAGAGAACCATGACCTCAATCTCAAGAGGTACAGACTCCCAAAAGTTAAACTTTTATAACTATTTGATTAAAACAGCGTAGGGAAATGTAAACAGCGGATTTATGATACAGATTGGTCAGCATTCTCACCAAGGTCAGCAATGCAGCACTGTCCGTTCTTTTGAACCAATATATTTTTGCTCTTGAGGTCTCGGTGGGCAATGGCCGGTTTGCCCTGAGTGCCGAAGATCTCAACGTGGAGGTGTGCTAGGCCGCTTGCGATGGAGAGCGCCATGCGGAGGCAGCTGGAGGCATCGAGGGTGCTGAGTTGAAGGTAGTCGTACAAGGAGCCCATCTCATGGAAGTGTGTAATCAGCCACAACTGAGTGCTGGAGTTCCTCGAGGTCATGTCTGAAGCTATGAAGCCTAAAATTGAGTGAAATATTATCAATGCAATTAATAAACTAAACTTTGATCAATACACGCACCATTGTATGGAAGCCTGCAGAAGTCTTTTTTTTTTTAAGCCTGTATACATGAAACATGGTACGCACCCAGGATGTTCTCATGTCTCAGCAGCACAGTGTTGTAGATCTCAGTCTCTCTGAACCAGGACTTCTCGTCTCTGGAGGAGAAGATTTTGACGGCGACACTCTCTCCCTGCCACTGACCCCTCCACACTTCACCGTAACGGCCCTTACCTGGTGGGCAGAAACATGGGAGGAATGAGCAAACACAGAAATGGACTCGTAAAAACTGTGTTACTTTACACGAGCATTACTTGATTGATACTTTTGTCTCTCTTATGTCTAAAGGTTGCTCTTAGCGCTAGAATTACCATTATTTACTCTTTTAGCTCATCGTCTCTCTGAAGGGAGTTTCTAGCAACAACAAACTGTGATAAGGTTCACTGTATGCTGGCTGAACAGTTCCAAATAGTAGATAAAGCTACTGGTCAGCGTCTGATTGGATGATAAAGAAAGTCAAACATTTTGCAGCCACAGACCACGATGTGTTGAAGTTTAGCGAAATGGAAAGCAAGTAATGAAATGACTTTCATCGGTATCATGTAGCTATTTAATGAGGGCATAGACATCAGTTTTCTAACATGTTCACAACAACAACATTGTAAGCAGGTAACGTTGTGGCGTCTGTATAAATATCAGCTTATTTTGCTGCCTCCTAGTGGCCACAAATCAATTAATGCATATTAAATAAACAAAAGAATGCATATAAAATACAAGTAGTGGGGTAGAGAAAAATGCTTCACAGCCAGTTCCAACTCTTCAAGGGGGAATTTATAACTCTGGTAAGTTATCACAGCAACAATGATTTGCTCCTCTGTCAATACACGTGAGGTAAACAATGCTACATAGTACTGTAT